AAGGAAAATACGTTTGCATTAGTAGTTCTGATGAGACCGCTGAGCCTAATAAGTTAAAGGATAAGGAAATATTACAGGTTCAGCAGTGAACCATGAAACTAAAGAACGTTTGGTACAAGACATTATTTCATACCCGAGAATCATGAATCCTAAGAATGACTAAAAACTGTTTGGATTGTAAAAAATATTCCTAGGTATGTTTATATAAATCTTTTGGGAATTAAAGAGTAACGTGATATTATTTGTCACATTAAATGATTTAACATAAGTAACTATTTTTATCGTAGTAAACAAAATTCAACTTAAAATAGATAGATTCTCTCCTCTCTTAAGAGAACAATTTAACGGGAAGCTTAACTAACAAACATTCTTGGGAATTTTAAACAAACCAAACATAGAAAAATAACATTTTCAGCAACAGATTTTAGGAAAACTAAAATTTCCCTTTATATGCCAAACGCCTCTTAAGGGGTTGAAGGTTACTTGGAGGTGAAATGGAGTGTGTGTGCAGAGGGTTGGGAGGGGGGTGTCAAATAGGAATTTAGTTGTCGGCTTGGAAACGAATTGTGGGTTCCTGGAGTATTTCCTGATATTTACTTTTATGTTTCTGATATGTGGGAATCTCCTTTCAGCCTACCTAAGACTAGATTAAAAGTGTAAACCAAATACAGATATATAAGTAAAGCAGTTAGAAAAAAAGACTACCAGGAAGTCAGTGTTGACAAAAGTAAAAAAATGGAACTGCCATGGATGTTGGTTATTAAAAGAAGAGACAATGTCAAGTCTCATATCAAGTATAGAATAAACTATTTAATGTGGTACTTAAGCTTTAGGCATTCTCACAAATAAACTAATCTTTTGGGTCGAACTATCCTCATGTGCTCAAGTTCTTTCAGTTTGACAATACAGGAACTAGTAGAGGACCATTAGTAATGAAGTCACAACTAGATGTCGTTACTGACTCCCTCTAAGCCTGTTTTAGTGTTACTCTAATTTCTCGTAAATAAATAAGCCAAAACCGCAAGGAAGCATTTAAAAATGAGTCCGGAAAAATAAAAAAAGGACTCAATCCATTTGCATATTCAGTGCAAACTATGCTCATAAATGATTTGAATTTGAGATTGAACATGTATTATACTACTGAACATAAAAAAAAAAAAAAAAAATTGCAGCAAATATATTATTCAAATTAGAAAGCACCTGACCTGAATGAATGGCAATGCCATTTATTTTCTTGTTCAATATTGCTGTTTCTCCTCTGTATATATAGGCTGAAGACTATAAATGAGGTATGAACTTGTTCACCCTCTAGCATCAGCAATTATTTGCTGCAAACATTTCATAATATAGGAGAAAGAAGGCCGTCTCCAGGGTTCCCTACAGCACCAACAGATATTAAATAGAAGGATAGTGAAGGATTTTGAAAATTGGCTGCCAGAATATCATATAATAATTTCAGATTCAACACTAAGAAAGGTAAAAGGAAAAGTGTCAGAATCTGTTGAACAAAGAATTAAAACTAATTGACCAACAATGGTTGGTACAAGTAGTAAGTACGAATCATGTTAATTACTGGTTTGAGTTCAAATCCTACTGTTAAAAATATGCATAGACTACTGCAAATATAGAACCTGGAAAGCTAGAACGTAAGGATCCCTTTTTATTCACTTTCCTTGTGTCCTTGATTTCATTATTTATTCCTCGATTAAAAATTAAGATAAATAGTGTCTGGATTAGAGACACTATTTCAGTAAAACTGATGTGGTATTTGTTACACGCCTTGACCAAAAAACGGAATAATTCCCAGAAAGCATAGGTAGGACCCTTTTCCACTGAATATAACTCCATTATTATTGTTCAACAATTGTTTACAAAGGAAATAATCTTCCTTTCACAGGGCATTCCTGTTTACAATACTACACAATCCATCCTGACCTGGCACCCCCAAGGAAGAGGATTATTATAGACTTTACAAAAGTCTCAGCGCCCCCCCCCC